GTTCTGCTCTCTCTGCTTTTCCTCATAGTAGCTTCATCTGGTCTGTTCCTGTTTGGCTGTGACTCCATCCTGGAGAGAAATATCAGCTGTGTTGCTGCCATCAACACCTTTGTTTATAGATTTTGGAGCTTGGCCTGTTTTTCAGTGTAGTCCTGTTTCTCTGGTTGTGACTAGCTGGATGTGGTCACTTCGTCCTCTGGCATGGGAGCTGGCTCGGAGCTCGTCTACCTGGCTGTGTGTTTCCTGGACCGGGCCGCCTTTTACAGTTGCTTTTTGTATCTCTGCTTCTGTCTCCTTGAACCCCAGTAGGCCTCGGCAGATGGCTGAGAGGTCCCAGTGCTCTATCTGGTGTTTGTCACAACAGCCTATTATCCAAGTCATCTTGGAAACATTCTTCTTCGAAACCAGCTGTTCTCGTGACGTCTAAATGGATTTTACTCCAAAATCCTGATGTACTGTAGGATTGTCCACTAGATGGAAGTAGCTGCTATCTGAGACATTTCTTGGAAGAGAAGGAGAATTGGTCTTCATTTTGTGATTTAATTCATCAGAGACAATTAAGATTGGTCCAGTTGAATGCTTACTGCCTTGCTCAAGGTAAGGCCAAAATACAGCCTATGAGCAGGGAAGCACAGAGACACACAAAGACAAACAACCATGCTCACACACACTCAAGGGTTAACTTAGAGATTAAACTAACAGGGATGTTTTCGGACCGTGTGAGGAAGACGGAGTACCTGGAGAGAACCCATGGGAAGACATGCAAACTCCATGTACAAAGTTCTTCAGTCAGGAATTTAACCTAAAACTTTCTTACTGCAAGATAAAAGTGCCACAAACTGCGGCACACAAACATGCAGCTCTGAACCGATTTGGGAGTGGTGGCCTAGTGGTAAGGGCATTGTGCTTGGATCCCAGAGGTTCTGAGTTCAAGCCCCACTCCCACTGACTGCCACTCTGGGTCCCTGAGCAAAGACCTTTAACCCCACACTGCTCCCCGGGTCCCGCACAATGGCAGCCCACTGCTCCCCAAAGGGATGGGTTAAATGCAGGGAGTACATTTCATTGCTTTGTACTTGTGACAGTGTAATGACAATAAAGTTGAATTGTTTATTTCTTGAGGGCTCCTGTTATCCAAAATGTCCACCAGGTGGCAGCAAAGTGCCTGAATGAAACTCTGGCAGTGAACATCTATTCAATTCAATTCAATTCAGTTTATTTATATAGCGCCAAATTCACAACACATGTCATCTCAAGGCACTTTACAGTTCAACCAGATCATACAGNCATGCTCACACACACTCAAGGGTTAACTTAGAGATTAAACTAACAGGGATGTTTTCGGACCGTGTGAGGAAGCCGGAGTACCTGGAGAGAACCAATGGGAAGACATGCAAACTCCATGTAGAATGCTCTTCAGTCAGGAATTTAACCCAGAACTTTCTTACTGCAAGATAAAAGTGCCACAAACTGCAGCACACAAGGCATTGTGTTTGGATCCCAGAGGTTCTGAGTTCAAGCCCCACTCCCACTGACTGCCACTCTGGGTCCCTGAGCAAAGACCCTTAACCCTACACTGCTCCCCGGGTCCCGCACAATGGCAGCCCACTGCTCCCCAAAGGGATGGGTTAAATGCAGAGAGGGAATTTCGTCGCTTTGTACTTGTGACAGTGCAATGACAATAAAGTGGAATTATTTATTTCTTAAGGGCTCCTGTTATCCAGATTGTCCACCAGGTGGCAGCAAAGTGCCTGAATGAAACTCCGGCAGTGAACATCTCCATCATCACTTGTTCTGTTTGCCCAACCGGTCCTTGTTTCGGAGGTGTTGGCATGTTGATGACAGTAATTTGTAATTGTCACTGATGACAGAAGTTTCCCTTGCGAGTGAATCTAATCCATCATTAAATGGTCTGCTGAGCTTCAGACTGGAGCCAAAACATCCACCTCGCTATCAGAAATGACACATCTCAAAGCTCAATCACTGCTTTCAACATGATTATATAATATGAAGCATGCAGCCATGCTGTTTGGAGGGGATTATTACTACTGAGCAGAGTGTACTTAAAGACTTGATGACAGCAATTTTCTTTGAGTCTTAAAGACTTCAGGAAACGTCATAACAGAAGAAAAGGATCACATTCATTTTGTACATTGTAAGATTTTTGTACTTTAAACTTTTAGTTTTTAACACCTGAAAGTGTTCCCAATTATTGACTTTACTTCTTAGACTACAGCCTTCCCCTTCCTCTGTGGATCTAGAGCTTAACAAATGTAAGGAATTCCCTTAATGTTTATTTTGCTGCTGCAGACTGATGAGTATTTTCCTTAACTGAGAGGAAAAGTGACTTACAGTACTTCCTGGTGCCAATGAATCCAGAACACCTGCTCACAAACTAGATTTGGATCGTAAGTTGGACATCTTTAAAGGTTGTCCAAACCATTAAGCAACAGCATCAAACTGGGCAGGATGTCAAAGTGGACTCAGGTTGCTGACTGGTGGAGCTGGTCAGAGCTCAAAGCTTTCTTTCTAAAACAGGTTGTGGTATGATGACCTCATTCTCGTAATAAGAACTTTATTCTTGAAAAAAAAAATCTCTAGCCTGGCCCTAAAACTCTGTCGTATTACCAGACTGACTTGCAGCCAGTATAAATCAGACAGGCTGGTCCTCTCGAGTCCTTGTAAAAAGGTTAGAAAGGTCCAACAGGTTACAAATTCTTAAAACCAGAGAATTTTAGAGGTGCTCTCCGTATTTGAAATGTCTCAGAAAACAACACCTCCGCCTCCAAGCAAACACCAACAAAGACATGGAGACACTTTTAGGGTTAAAGAAGAAATAAATACTTTATTTTACACTCTGCTAATCTGTGTGCATCATTTTTCAGAGATACGTTTACATGTTGGAGGAAGACGTAAAGGTGCAAACAGATATAAACACAGACAGCAGAAAGCCTCTACTGCTGCATTAATGCATGCAATCATGAAAAGAAAATACACAAAAGCAAAGCAGCAAAAAAAAAAAAACATTTTTTACAGACAGATATATTATAATCATCATCACTATTATTCATATTCACACAATGAGTCTGCAACTCTGACAGCAGGGGAAATCCTCAAAGATAAAAATGATCCTCATTCCGATTAATGTGCAATCCATCATCGAACGAGATGTTTTCATTTTGGATTTCATTATCGTCTGATGGAACGATGTTTTTTTTTTAATGCTTTATAAGTTTTATGTCAAAATGAAGATTTGGTCGAGTTGTTGAGCCGAGGATAAAGGAGCTTAGTTCAAACCATAAAGTGTCAAACACAGAAGAGCAGGTTAGTTAAACGGTAAAGTCTCAGCTTACACTGAGGAAAAACATCAGATTTCCCCAAAAAATGCTTTAAATGAGTTTAAGAAGACTGAGACGCCGCAATTTCCCACACAGAATCTTTGACTCTTTATTCAAAAAGTTGGATTACTTATTTTGACTGTGATATTTGTGTTTCATGTGTTTCAGGTAAAAGAAAGAAAACAGTCAGAGATCTGAAAAGATCTTGATTTACTAGAAATTATTCTTTTGAAGAAGTTAGGATTTCCTGAGGAATCTGAACTCAGCACATCTCACT